AATCGGCCGTTGTGGGCTGTTTCATGTGAAGGGGCTGGAACACTTCCCATAAAGCTGCACATACTTCCTTAATAATTTTTCCAACTGTAGAGGATCCCATCCTAAAGGAGAAGGCCAATGATCTGAAGCTGCATCCGGTCGCAAGATATCTGAAACAGTATAATATATTAAAACAAAGAAAAACTTTACAAAGCAAGAATAATTAGTATACGTATGTTTTTTTCACGAAAATTAATTTTTCAATTAATTATGTATAGTAACTATTGTTGTCGTGAAAACCCCGAGTTTTTAGTTTATTTTTTGTTACAGAAGAAGAAGCACGAAAATGTTGGAAAAATGTGAGGCAAGAATATGGAAAACAAATAAAGAAAATTCAGGGTCGGTCAGGAGATGGAGCAGAGAATGAAATAGTTTGCCAGTGGCTTTATTTTGAAAAATTACAATTCTTACGTGATCAGTTCACGCCTCGTTACTCATCTACAAATTTAATAGATGAAACACAGGACACTGTGGAAAGCAATCCAGAAGATTCAAATCTAGAGGAATCTGATACTGACGCTGAACAATCTACCTCCACCTCAATAACAAATGTGCTGAGCCCTAGTTCCGAATTACAAGATGTGGTTGCAACTACATCATCTTCAAGTCGTGCTACTTCAGGTTCAAAATACTCTGTTACCCAAACGGGCTATAAAAGGCGAATAACCCCACAAATAGAAATTGGGAGACAGCTAGTTGACATTGAAAAAGAAAAACTAGCCTTAAGGACAAATAAAATGTCCCAGGATCCCAATGATGATGATATAGGGTTTTTCAATTCCCTTCTTCCTTATGTGAAAAAATTGACGCCTAGAGATAAATTAAAATTTCGAATGGATATGCAGAACTCTTTATTTGAATTCCTGTATCCTTCAAAACAGCAGACGCTGGCCTGTTTAGTACCTGCTGCCAGTGCTGCCACCCAGATAGAACATGGCCCGCATGTTCAACCTGGTCCTTCTCGGTGTGAACCAGTTTGGAGTAAGCAGACTTTGCTGCCGTATGAATCGAGGTACGAATTTCCCTCATCCTTATCCACAAATCAGACGTCAGCAGACTTGGACTCTTCAAGCAACTTGTTTCGATTAAATTAAATAACAATTTAAAATGTGAATTAAAATTTAAAATTTAAAATGTGGTTACGCTTACCTTATTGTCACTACTAGTTTTTCTTCAGCTAAAATCGGATTTGTATGATAGTTGTTATAATTGCAATGTTCAATTTTCGTTTTTATGTTGTCATAAATATACTGGAATGTATCTAGACCCATTCTCATGTAAGCATGGAATCTGTCAGAATGGTTTCGAAGCTCTTTAAACAAGTGATGGTATTCCCCTAGATATTGCCTTTTCTGGTTTATCGGATGAGCACTAAACTCGCGATTTGAAGAATTACATATAATCCGCCACTTTCCACCTGCAGATATACCATCACTGTCTTCACTGCTGTTGCTTCTATACATAATTAACTGTTTAATAATAAAACAGCAAATTTCTTCCAACTACGTGTGTCTTCTTTGAAACCTCAAAGAACACTGAAAGCCGAAAGCTTTGACTTTGACTGAAAGGAAAGCATCTTTGGCATGTTTTGCCCAGCATCGATGTAAACCTCGACCGCGACCGCGACCTCCACCGCGCTCATCCATGGCTGAGTTCGTTTTCGTCCTCGCGGAGCCGACGAGATGAGACGGATTTTTAAGTCACGTGACTAACGAGTCGTCTGACTGCTGGGTAATTTTCGAACGGTTCGAAGATATTTGGGAGATTTGTGACATAACCCTATTTATTTAATGACACTAATGACAGTGTTTTTATTGATATTTTTCTCATTACTTTTAAATTTTTACTACTTTTCAGTAAAAGTAAAATGGAAATTACAAAATTTTTTCCAGTTTTGATGCACTTTGCAAATGAAATATTATTTGAAGATGAAGAAGAAGAAGAAGAACGCTTAAGAGAACCAAAAATTGTTAATTTTGTTGAAGATGTTATTCACTGCTTTGAGGACAAACAATTTAAGAGACATTTTCGAATGGACCCTTCAACAATGGAACACTTACTACAGAGAATTCAAAATGTTATACCAGAGGTCCCTGTCGCTAAAGGTCATCCTCAGCTTACAATAGAAAAACAGCTTTTAATAACAGTTTGGTATTTAGCAAACATTGAATGTTTCCGGTGAGTAATATGATAATAGGGTGTACCAATGGGGTATTAGCTACAAAAATTAGAAACTAAGATATTTGTGAGCTGTTTCTTATGTTCTTTATTTTACTTTTTAGCTCAGTAGCGCAAAGATTTCATGTAACAAAATCAACAGCATCGACAGTGTTGATGAGAATGGGCAAATGGATTTTATTAGCAAACACAAAGTTTAAAATAATTTCTTGGCCTACCAGGGAAAGAGCGTTAGAAATATCTAACAGGTTTCGGAATATCAATGGATTTCCTGGTAAGTAAATTTCTGCTTGAAGTTTGAGCTCTGATTAATAATAAATGAATTCCAAATTCGATTGTAAAGGGTACAGTAGCACCAGATAGAACAGAAATGAAAAATTAATTAATTATGTAAATGTATGAACACTGAAAAATAAAACAAGGTTGCTGGACTCGGCTGGGATTTGAGATCACAACTTGCAATCCCAATTACTTAAGCCAAAAAAGTATACTGGCAATATGCTTCAGTTCTATATTTAGAGTTAACTACATAAAGTCTGTCGATTTTAATCTGATACTCCAAATAGTGGGCTCACCATACAGGTGTTTTTCCTCCCCTTCACCGCATATGCAAAGTATCACATTAAAATCGACAGACTTTACCCACCTAAGGGCCAAATTATGGATCTGCTGGTAAAGTTGCTGGTTGCTACCTAGCACCTAAATGTTAAGCCCACGGGTAACTTTGAAGGAAATTATTATTAAATTTCTCACCTGATGTTACTTAATCAAGCACTTTACAATTTGGCACATCTCTGGCAAGCTTAAACAAAAGCTTATAACCAAATTTTTACGTTTAGCAGCAGGATAACTTTGGCAGGAACCTTACCAGCAGATCCATAATTTGGACCTTAATGGCCTAATTGGTGAAACATGTGCCTAGCACTCGGCCTAGCAAACAAATGTGAGTTCAAATTTTACCAGACTTTGGGAACTTTTTTCTAATTTTCTGTGTAGGTTTAATAATATATACTTCTAACTATTGAGTCGTTCCTAAACAACTTATAGGTATTGTAGCTGTTTCATTTTGTTATAGGAGTTATCGGTTGCATTGATGGCTCACACGTGAAAATATTGGCACCCAAAGAAAATCCTGTTTCTTATATAAATCGAAAAAAATTCCATTCTATCTTACTTCAGGCAGTCTGTGATGACAAAAAACAGTTTATAGATGTATTTACTGGAACACCCGGCTCTTGTCATGATGCAAGATTATTTCAGATGTCCGATCTATCAGAGCATATTCGAACAGGAATTGTGCAATTTCCCAACGACACACATATTATAGGTGACCTAGCATATACCTTGACAAAAACACTGATTGTTGGATTTAAAGACCATGGTAATTTAAATGATCGTCAAAAAAAATTTAACAGAAAATTGTCACAGATAAGGGTTGCAATTGAGCAAGCTTTTGCTCTTTTAAAAGGCAGGTTTCGGCGCCTTAAATATTTAGAAACCATAAGAATGGACCTAATATGCTTATTAATTATTGTGGCTTGTGTATTACACAATGTGTGCATTTTAAATAATGACAATGCAGAAGACATATTGGATCTGGCACAAGAAATAAAAGAAGAGAGAATGTTGCAAGAAATACAGAATGTCAATGTACAAAATGCTGATGCAATAAGGAGAGAAGCTCTTCAAAAAAGAATTAATATTATAAACAATTTAATATAAAAATTTAAAGCATATTTTTAGTTCATTTTTATACACCACTAATCTTCCTGTAGATTATAAATAGTTAATTTAATTGCTTAATAAATAAAATAGTAATGTAGCTTCTACTTCTATTCATTTATTTACAGAAGAAAACAGAACATTATAATAATAACTACAGTTTACAATAATAATTGTACTTAGGGCCAAATTCTGTACCAGCTGGTAACGTCTCTGGGCCTCTGGCAAATTTAGCCTGCTGGCAAACTAAAAATTTAATGCGTTTTTAGCCTCACCAGCAAGATATTATCTAAAGTTGCCAATAACGTTACCAGTCGGTCTATAATTTGACCCTTATTCAACTAAGGGTCGGTTTATTCACCTTCTGATAAACTGTCAGCAAATATGAAATCTGCCATATACAGTGTGACTCATTTTTGAGGGGGCCACCCTCTGAAATCTTTATTTATTGCGCGATTTCAATATTTTTTTTTTAAATTGTAGAGCTTGGCAAACTTCATTTTTGAAGAAGAGAGCTCCACATTCCTACAAAGACTATGGCCTCCACCTCAGATTTTATGCGTGAAATTTTGAGAATTCATATTAGCGATTTTTTTAGAAAAAATCTGTGCACGCCACTGTTTTCGCCATCCCCAAAAACCCCCTAATCCATATTTTCAAGCGAAAAATTAAAAATTTTAATGCACTTTTCTCGACTTTTTCTAATAAATTCTTGATTTTCGACCAATATTTTTTAAAAAAAATGGTAAAATATTATTTTTTTTTGCTTAAAAATATGGATTAAGGGGTTTTTGGGGATGGCGAAAACAGTGGAGTGCATAGATTTTTTCTAAAAAACTCGCTAATATGAATTCTCAAAATTTCACGCATAAAAACTGAGGTAGAGGCAATAGTCTTTGTAAGAATGTGGAGCTTTCTTCTTGAAAAATGAAGTTTACCAAGCTCTACAATTTAAAAAAAAAATACTGAAATCACGCAATAAATAAGGATTTCACAGGGTGGCCCCCTCAAAAATGGGTCACTCTGGATGGTCGCAGAAATGCTGGACAGGTCGAAACTTGATTTTTTCGAATTTTATCAGAAATCCGAAAATGTGAAAAAAATTGTGTCTATTTAAAAAAATTAAGTTACTACCTTCCAGCTTTTCTGGGACCACCCTATATAATAATTTTATTTGCCGAAAAATGCTTGACAAAAAATAAAATTGAGGGGTTTGAGGATTAAAAAAAAAATTGCTTAGAAGAATAATTATTGAATTTATTCCCTACCAACTTTATGGCCGCACTGTATTTTGAGCAAACTACTTATTTTTCAACGTACTAATCATATCCTCAAATAAATCGAGAAATCTGTCTTGACGTTGCAATTTTTCTCGGTGTCGCTTGTCTGCAGCATTTTCATATCTGCGTACTCGTTTTGTGCCACTTGTCTTGGGGGTTTCCTCAACATTTGGGGTTCCATTTTCTTCGTCATGATCTAAAAACCCAGAATAAAATTATAATAATTTGATAAAAAAAATAATTTGAGATGAAGTCTACCTGCTAATGATGCAGAGCTTGAAGCCCCACAGCTATTATTATTAATTTGCAGACCTTTCGAGCTGCTGCATGTCACGGGTGGTATTATTTCGGGTTTCTTACACAATAATTCATCCATTTCATCAAAATAAATCCAAATCCTGGGCTCGTTTCCCGACTTGTCGTTGTGCTGCTTGACACTTTTATACAAGTCTTTAAGACCTTTCCATTTAGTATCACATTGTTGTGCACTCATAGTCACTTTCGTCTGATTAGAAATCTCATTAGCAATTTTTTGCCAAACCTGTTTTTTAATTTTACTTTGAAAATCATCATCATATTTTTTTACTAATGCTATTAAAGCTTTTGTTGCACCAAGTGTCCATATCTTCAGTTGTTCTACTCGTTCTGCTTGTGGAGTGTTAACAACTTCTGGAGTGTTAACAACTTGTACTGTGTTAACAACTTGTGCAGTGTTAACAACTCGGTTAACAGCAGAGGTTACGAGATTTTTTTCATAGAGTGTAAAATATTTATTTGTAAGCTGTTCATAAAAATCAGGGTCTAAAATTAATAATAATAATAATACTTTATACATTAAGATCTGATCTACTATTATTAACAATAGTATATTATACCTAGGGACTAAAGTGGTACCTACTTTTAATCCTGAGACAAAAAGTTTATAGCCCGACTGAAGGGATGGCTATAATTTCTCAACAGATTGAAAAACACTTTAGTCCCGAGGTGTATACACTATTTTATGTACTTTAGAGGGATTACAAGTAGACTTTCAATCCCTAGGGTTTACATAATTCCCAGGAAATAAAGTGAAATTTGAGTTGATTAAAAGACCCACTTTAACTCCCTCAAAACAGGGATTATAAGGGTACTTTTATTCCTTTAAAACTGGGATTGAAAGGGTACTTTAATCTTTTAATCCCTAAGGGCCAAATTATGGGCCGACTGGTAAGGTCTCTGGCAAATTTCACCTGCTGGTTGATGTGATAAAACTTATGAGCTTGGGTAGCTACCAGCAATCAGCACCGTTCCTAGTTGGTCCATAATAGGGCCCCGAGTAGGGCCCTAAAGTGCATAAAAATTATAAAAATAGTTATTCAAAATCGTACTTACCTGAGTTTGCCTTGGTTATTTCATACTGAGTTAAAAAAACTCTGAATGTGCGTTCGGACGCAGCGTGAAAGAGCTCTACAAGTTGCCTTTTGTCATTATCCATTTTAATTAATCCTATTATACAACAATAATTATTAATTACAACATACATCGATTGTACCTTTCTACCTTTCTATTTTTTTCAGCAAAAAAAAATAAACAAAACAGAACGCCCATAAAATGTGGTTATGTTTACTGATCACCTCTAAATGCTCGACCAAAAACCTCGGACGAAAGCGAGGACGCTCCAAAACATCCGGACGACTAAAACGAACGCGAAAATATTTCCCTCCGACTAATCCCAAACAATAAACGAACGGTTAAAAAGGAATCCGAGACGTCCGACGACTAAAACGAACTCAACCCATGTATCTTCGGCATGTCCGTACCTTATAAGAGATACGGAGTTGGTTAAATTATGGCAAAGTTGCGCAATTTTATGACCAATAGAATACCGTTTTGAAACTAGAAAGATTCCGAATACTTCCGGAGATATTCGGAAAAACCCAAAATTTTATAAAATCGTTTTTATTTTTTCCCGGTCTTATTTGAAAAGCAATTTTAAAATAAATGTCACTTCATCATTGTCACTTCTTCCCCTCTAGTAGAAGGTGGTACTAAATTTAAAATTCGACGTTTCGCCTTCAGGCGGCCATCCTTAACTTACGTTTTTTAAATACGAACCTAGATTTTTTATTTGCGATTTTGTCATCTTTGGGCATCCTAAAACCGATACTGTTTATAATTTTTCAATAACACGGTAAAAAGCAGGTCCGTATTTGAAAAAAAAAATTGATGATGATTCCAGAGGAACGAAACGTTGGATTTCAAATTTAATACTGCCATCTTGTAAAGAAGAGAAAGTGACAATGGGAATGTGAAATTAGCTTTTCAGAATCATTTTAAATGAAATCAGGAAAAAATTTAAGAAAAACGAGAAATTCATGTTTTTTTCGTAGAGTTTTCATTTTTTCCTGATTTTATTTAAAAAGATTGTGAAAAACTAATTTCACCTTGCCATTATCACTTTTTCTTCTCTACAAGATGGCGGTATTAAATTTAAAATACGTTTCGTTCCTCTGAAATCATGATTTTTTTTTTTAAATATGGACCTGCTTTTTTTGCTGTGTTATTGAAAAATTATAAACAGTATCGGTTTTAGGATGCGCAAAATGACAAAATCGCAAATAAAAAATTCAGGTCCGTATTTAAAAAAAGGAAGTTGAGGATGACCGCCTGAAGACGAAACGTCGACTTTTAAATTTAGTAGCACCATCTTCTAAAGGGGAAAAAGTGATAATGATGAAGTGACATTTATTTTAGAATTGCTTTTCAAATAAGCCCGGGAAAAAATAAAAAATGATTTTACAAAATTTTGGTTTTTTCCGAATATCTCCGGAAGTATTCGGAATCTTTCTAGGTTCAAAACGGCATTCCATTGGTCATTCGCAACTTTGCCATAATTTAACCGACCCCGTATCTCTTACGGTTACCGAGATCCCAATGATGAGGCTGAAATTTGGGCCACCCTGTATATCTGGAAAACGAAGCATTTCCGGACACATGTTTATTAAAAAAAAAGTTTTATTTTTACGAGATCTACCATCCCTAGAAGTTTGTAACAAACCTTTCTTGACACCCTGTATACCTATATCAAATTGCACAAGCAACATTTTTATCTCAAAATAATATGAGAAATGCAATATAAATATCATAAGAAAGGAAAATAGGTGCCTAATTATGTCATTGAAATTTCAAATTTTCAAATCCAAATTTGGGGTATGTTCCTTTTGATTATCACTTCTTTTTTTACGGTTTTTGCTTTGGGCTCATACTAAGGGCTCATATACCTACAATTTTGCCATACTTATTTAACCATACCTTGTTTGAACTCGTATTTTGTCGTGTGACACTAGGAAAACGAAGCGGAAGCGAAGTGGACACCTTATAAAATATCAACAAAAATCGACTTCGCTATGGTTTAGCTTAGCTTTCGCTTAGTTTCGCGATATTAACAAAAATTATAGAATTCCCTAGCAGATTAGTAGTTTGAAATCGTCTGAATGATTTTATTTAACCCCATAAAAAAAAACAATCACTTATAAAAGGCCATACCAAATAATTGACCTACGGGCCAGGGAAAGGTTAAAGCGTCACTGATGAAGGTCCTGTTACTCTTGAACTAAAGACTGCAGATGCAACCAAAAATATTTTATGCAATTTGGTAATGGATGTGATGTCTATTAAGAGAAGAGTAGAATGGAATAGTTCCTGATTTACAGATACGTGAATATGAAAGCCACATCGAATCTGATGAGCTCACGGAAGCTAGAGCGACATTAGAGTTCATGCTAGTTTGCATGAATGAAGGACGGAAAAATACAGTTGCATATTTTTTCACAAATTGACTTGTGGCGAGTGGAAAGGCAAACCTGATCAGTAGATGTTTAGAGTTTGTTGCTGAGTCACGTGTGAAAGTCACATCTCTAACATTTGATGGGGCAGCCTCAAATATCAGCATGGCACAAAAGCTTGGAGCCATCCATCGAAGGTATTGGAAATTCCAGAGATAAATCAATAAATTAGGATTATGTAAAAAATCTTGTTTAAAAACAAAATTTAGAGGGTTAACATGTAGCAACGAGAGTTAGACTGCGTCACTTAACAGTGAGTAAGAGCGAATAGTCCGGGGGCCGAGGACCTTATTTCCAAATGATTAATAACAAGCTAGTTTTTTCAATGCAGCTTCATTCCACCGAGACGCGCAACTTTTTTCTCTTCGAAAATTGCGAAAACAGGTAGCTAACATACTGCGCAGGTGTAAAACATGTCGATTTGGTGACTATGAAAATTTAATTAATAACAGTTAGTTTTTCAGCTAAATGTTGAGATAATTTTATGAATAATTTGAAACAACATTTGTCCGACAAAATAAAGGGTTTGGTGTACGATGTCCCCCCCTCAAACATGTAGCAATTACGTTGCATAAAAAATGATTAATAACAAGTTGATTTTTTCAGTGTAGGTTGGTAAATATTATTACAATTAAATGGTCAAAGTGTCCTACAAATAAACAGGTAGCTATTTTCAGTCCTACACTCAAAAGTTGTCGATTTCACGATTTAACTTTTTTCATTAATAACCGGCTAAATCTTCGTGAGTATCTTCATTTTAATAAGACGCCCAAATTTTCTGCTGCGAAAATTCCAAGTGTAGGACTGGAGAAATGTACCTCTTTATTTGTAGGACAGTGTAACCATTTAATTGTAGTAATATTTACTAAGCTACATTAAAAAAATCAACTGGTTATAAATCATTTTTTATGTAACGTATCTGCTACATGTTTGAGAAGGGAGACAGCCTAGATCAAACCATTTATTTTGTCGGACAAATGTTGTTTCATATTATTTATGAAACTATCTCAACATTCAGCTACAAAATTAACCGTTATTATCTACATTTTCATGATCACCAAACAGACATGTTTTCCACCTGCGCACTCTGTTAGCTACCTGTTTTTGGAATTTTCGCAACAGAAAATTTGGGCGTCTTATCAAAATGAAGATACTCACGAAGATTTAGCCGGTTATTAATGAAAAAAGTTAAATCGTGAAGTCGACAACTTTTGAGTGTAGGACTGAAAATAGCTACCTGTTTATTTGTAGGACAGTGTGACCATTTAATTGTAATAATATTTACCAACCTACATTGAAAAAATCAACTTGTTGTTAATCATTTTTTATGCAACGTAATTGCTACATGTTTGAGGGGGGGGGGGGACATCGTAGACCAAACCCTTTATTTTGTCGGACAAATGTTGTTTCAAATTATTCATAAAATTATCTCAACATTTAGCTGAAAAACTAACTGTTATTAATTAAATTTTCATAGTCACCAAATCGACATGTTTTACACCTGCGCAGTATGTTAGCTACCTGTTTTCGCAATTTTCGAAGAGAAAAAAGTTGGGCGTCTCGGTGAAATGAAGCTGCATTGAAAAAACTAGCTTGTTATTAATGATTTGGAAAAAAGGTCCTCGGCCCCCGGACTAGAAGATGAGGGTTCGTCTTCGTCTACACAAACTTAAGGTAGAAGTGTAGCAGATGCTCTCATGTTTTTCTTTGAGGATCTGCAAATAAAAATCATTCAAGGATGCTGGTGATGACCTCTTGAATATGTTCAATTCTAGGAAGACGTTTGCAAAATATAAGTTCAAGAGGCCATTATCAGAAGTTACTAAAAACTCATTTTTTTCATATTTAGAGGAAATAAAACGATACATTTTGGACTAAAAATCAATACATTTCGATACTAAAATCACAAAGAAAAACTGGTTTCTTGGGATTTCTAATTTGCATGGAAAGTCTAAAGTCACTTTATGACACCTATGTAAAAGAATTTTTTTTTTTAAATATATATTATGTATAAGTTTCCTCAAGGCCATCTAGAGGTTTTTTTGGATCAATTAGACGCAAAAGTGGATTTAATAATAACCCACTGCCAGGCAGTTTGAGGCGTCATACGCCTTTTTGTTGGAAATTTCTGGTCTTAGCACAGGAAACGTTTTGAATTTAAATATTACGATTCTGACTTGTGGTTGAAATAATTTAACAAACACTGAAAACGGAGATAATTTAGAAGAGGGAAATAATATTAAAAAAAAAAAAAACAGGAGAGATCAACAGAAAAAAAATTAAGAGTTATATTACCTTAACTGTCCATCATGGGATCTGACACTCTTTCTTGAAAATATTATTGGTGATATTTCTTGATTTGTGGCAAAAATGTTAAAATCTTATATAACATGTTTAAAACTCTTGGAATCGAGAGAAACACTTAGTAAACTACAATTAGGGAAAACGTTTGAGAAATTGGAAAAAGTGTCCGAATTTGTCATCAACGTATGTAAAGATGGAGATTTTTTTTTCAGATTTTTTATGAAAACCAACAGTATCTCCCATAAAAATATTCAAAATATTTCTGATATTTTTATTTCACACAATGAGAAACTTGCCTTCAAAAAGTCTTTCCTACTTCGAAGAACATTTTTATGATAAGAATCCTATGAATTGTCATCGTAATCATTTAATTAAATTAATTTAAAAAAATTACTTTTGCTGGAGGATTCATAATGGAGCATTTAAGAGAACGGAGCAAGGGACAAAGAAAAGAGTTAGAAGCACATGTACAATAAACATTTTGTTTAGAAATGAGTAGAATACATTAATACATATTAATAATTTAGATTCATATGCTATTTCTTTTTAATTTAATTTTATAATATATTTTTTCATATTTTTTTACATGGTGCAATATTATGTATTATAATATGTATGTACCTATAATAGTACATTAAAATACAAGTTTCATAAGACGTCATTTTATCGCACGAGCCCTATATTAGAAAACGAGCCGGAGGCGAGTTTTCTAAAGGGCGAGTGCGATAAAATGTCTTATGAAACGAATATTTTATACTATTTTTTCTATTTTGGTATTGTTTAATTAAAAAAAAAAAACTTTTCTTGGAAATTTTATTCTCATATTTCCTGATTTCATATGTTTAGGTTGGTAACACTACATGTCAAATATAGAAATCTTCTATTATTTTTTATCACGAATGACAGTTCGATGGCCATCAGTCAGCCAGTGTTACCAACCTCCTATAAGTAAAAAAGGAGTGTCACAAAGAGCTTCTTTTCGAAACTACTTTTAGTGTCGAAAAGACTTCGATATGACACCAAAATAGAAAAAGTTTAATTGAATTTGCCAGTCATCAGAGGCCTTCTTTGACAAACGAATTTTGCATCATATGCGGCGAATTTGGTGAAAACATGGAGCTTTGGTACCGATGTACCGATCAAATGTGGAAGATGGGCATTCCGAATGTTATGGTTGGGAGTCGGCCAAAGGGTAAGAATGTGATGAAGGCGTTGTCAAACAACTTGCACGGCACTGGGTCGGGTAATACGGTGATATGCACTTTCTAGATCACTTTCTATGCCAAAAGCATATACAAGACCTGGAATAATAGATTTAGCAAAAACTTTCTATTTCTCAAAGGGCCAGTCATGCTTAGGAGCGGCTAGTAGATTTCTGTTTAATTTGGTAGACTCAACTAAGAAAACAATAATAGCTCCAGAAAACACAGTTTTAAATTTACTCGAAGAAAAACATCCGAACGTTCCTACAACAACAGAAAAAGTCGAAAACGATATTGAGGTAGTTGTAGATGATTGAAATGTAAAATATAAGATTCACCAGATTGTCAAGATCTGGTGCCAGCCGGGTTCCCGAAACTGGTAAGCATTCTTCAGTTTTTTGTTGAAGTCTTTTATGTCCTTGCCTGCGGTTTGTTCTGATAAACAAGCTTCAAATAATTGGTTTATTTTGGATCGACACTCAAACATTAGCACGTACAATTGGCATCTTTTCGTGTCTCAATTGTATCACTATTGCTTAAATCCTTTATTAGATATATTGTACGTAGTGTCAGGTTATGTTGTATAGTTTTCTGAGACTTTTTACGCAATTTATCTCAGTTGTATGTTGCACCAAATAAAACCGGAACCAGTCTAGAATTTCTTTTGTTCCCAATCCGCCGCCTAGCCACCACCCTTTAATCTCGAGTTCTGTCTCATGATGTTGGGAATGAGGCGGTCGACACTAGAGCGTCTTCAATCAACGAGCTCCTTCAAGAACTAACAGCAAGCGAAAACATCGAAGTTATAGATAAAAGTATGATCGAGATTACGACTGATAACAAGCCAGTAGCATCAAAATAGGGATTATGCCATCGAGGGAGTTCCTATGGATTATGCTGGTAATTTCCCAGACTTCAAGACCGAAGTAAATTATGAAGAGAACCTTTATAAAGAGCTAACAAATTTGCCTAATATAATTGACATGAATACATCTTTGAATACATGCTATGTTCCTAAATAATACTTTAGCTATCGAACCTCCCTAGCCGATTAATTGAGAAGGGTTTCTTACTTTCTGGAAAAAAAACTGGGTGCTGGTGACCAAGAAACTGGGCGACAGGGTAATGTAGTTGCTGTAAAACAGTTTAAGACAGAAAAACTATTATCTAACGAATTAAGATAAGTGAACCCCCTCGCCAGAATCAGGCATCCGAATATTATCCAAATAATGGGCATCTCACTGGATACAAACCCATATCATTCTGGAAAGGGTGAAAGGTCATAATTTGGGAGACATTGTCTTCAATGATGATGTCAAAATACTTTAAAATTTAGACATTATAAAGAAGAACCAGGTTTTTTCAAAAATCTGCCAAGCAATCAGCCATCTGCATAGACAACGAGTTCCAGAGTATTTTCTCGGGAAATCGTTAAATGAAGATACCCCAACAGTAACAGCTTGGTGTGCAATCTCTATTGAGAAAAAATACAGACGATTTTTATTAACCAACTACAACAGAAACTGTATACACTGATATGCTCTTTTTCCCACAGTTAAGACAGGATGATATCATATCTTGGATTATATCTATTTTCAGCAGAATGGTGCCCTAATCCTATTAATTAATCCTATAATTCACCAAGATATTGAACCTGATAATATCTTAGTTAATGAAATTTTGTACCTAAAGTCTGTATTTTTCCTAAAAAATGAATATAAGTACTTGGAAATATAATAGTAGAAATCAGAAAAACCTACCAAATCGGAAACGTTTCGAAAGCGATTGTGCTTTCTTCGTGAGTAGGTAGTTTGTACCGAAAACAGAAATTAATAATAAATATCCAAAAGAATATTGTCGAGAATATTTTTTTAAGCTGGCATCAGCAGGGCTGAGACTCTGTAACCGATAGAGAAGGGCTCGCTATGGCACTTGCTCTCTCAATCAATACATATTTCTTTCATCTCAAGGCTTTGTCTACATGTATTAATTTTTTTTGACGATAAAGCAATATTATTATTATTATAAGTACCTACTTATTATAAATACCTATCATATATGGGCTAGAAAATGGACATTATTCATATACCATTAGTATATTGTTTGTTGAGAGATAAAACAGCAGCAATATACCAAAATTTATTTTTTTCTAGTTAAATCAAGAATATTCGAAATTTTCAGATTGTCGTTGCATCCTGTAGCAGTCTTTGTAGATTTCGAAAAAGCAATTCATTTCGTATTGCTAAGTATTTTTCTAAAAGTAATAATCAGTGGCTGTCGTTTTCACTAACATCAAAGTTGGTTTAAAATAATTCAATCGCTTGGTTTGGTTCACGAATTTAAAAATAAAAATTCAGATATTGGAAAATGGCTGGTTGGAGCCGAAAATGCCGGCAATAAAAACATGACCTTTCCATACCCGCCGCCGGTCAATTGAATCCCGGTTAGCTCAGCTAATATTTAAGTGTCCGAATTGCATACGCCTGTATTTATATTTTCCCACCCCTCGTAACTTTTTTGTGCCACTGTGTATAAAAAAAACGCTATGGCTAGAAATTCGTCCGACGTACGTCAAAATGTATTCACGTCCGACTTATACAAAATTATATTCACGTTGGACGTGTACAAAGATGCGTTCACGTCTTATATGTTGGTACGTTTTAGACAGGACTCTAAACCGAAAAAATTAGGTTCTAGAAGCAAATCCTGTTACTTTTGAGGTGAAGGTTTTTCTTAGGCTGAACACATAGTGGAGCGGCGAGAAGAGCGACGAGGAGAGCAGAGAGGAGAGCGGCGAAAACAAAAACGGTAGTTCGAATCAAGTTAACCATAGTGAGGCGAGCTGAAGCGAGGTAACCGCGTTGCTATTGAGAGGATAGCGGCGAGATCAAGCAGATTTGTTTTCTCTGCTCTCCTCGTTGTAGAAATAGTTGTGTTTAAAATGGATGTGGATGCATTTATTAGTAGTGTATTTGTTAAAAATCCCCTATGGGATCAGAAAGACTCTCAGCACCATAACCGCTTTGTTTTGGATAAACTGTGGGATGCTGTGGCCAAAGAAATGAATTCAACAAGTGAGTATATTTTTAAATTTTATATTTTATATCTACATACGTAATTTTTATATGTCTCTCTAATAAAAGTGGCAGCTGCTGTTGGCCTGTTATTTGCTCGTACAACGGCTGATCTATCACATTGAGACTCGGGTTGGGACAAAAATTGTTCGTCTTGAATTGAAATGCCTTCCATATCAATTATTGTATTGTGTAGAATACAGATACACTTGATAATATCATCTGCTAAGTCTGAAGAGGTTTCTATGGGCTTCAAAAGAATACGAAACTTGGCACTGATGATTCCAAAAGCACACTCTACTACACGTCTTGCACGTGAAAGGCGCATATTGTAATATTCTTTTTCTGCATCTAAATTTCTTCTATTAAAAGGTTTCATTAGATTATTTAATAAAGGAACCGCTTCATCTCCGATAAAAACATAGGGCACAGTGATCATAGTCAGTGGTAATGTACCATCTTCAGGAATATTGAGACGTTTACTCTCAATTAGATGAAATAGAGATGAAGATCGGAATGTACCCCCGTCACTCTGCTTGCCATATCCTCCAACATCTATTGTTATAAATCTATAATTTGCATCAGCAACAGCTTGGAGCACTATAGAAAAGAAGTGTTTGTAATTATAGTACATAGTTCCAGAGTGAGGGGGACACTTTACACGAATATGTTTCCCGTCAATTGCCCCCAGACAATTGGGAAAATTCCATTTTTCGTAAAATTCTTTTGCAGTGTTCTTGAAGTCATTTTCGGTAGGAACTTTCATATGCAGAGGTTGCAATATGTCCCACATAGCTTTTACTGTTTCTCGCACAATTGATGACACAGTCGTAGCACCCATTCGAAAAGTAAAACCAAGAGTCTTAAAAGATGATCCCGTTGCCAAAAACCTAAAAAAAAAAACTTGTTAAAGCTTAAATTCTGATGATTTTTTTTCATTTCAGGGAGTATCGTGAGGACAAAATGGAAAAACTTGCGAGACACATTTCGCAAAGAACTTAAAAAAAAAACAGTACAACGATCGGGGGATGGGGCATCCTCTTGGACATCATCTTGGCAATATTTTGATAGTCTTTATTTTTTAAAAGACCAATTTACTGCCCGAGTAAGCACCGGAAATTTGCCCGAAACTGAGCAAGACATCAATATTCTGGATGAAGATACAAACAGCCAGTTATCAGAATCCCGATTAGAACCAAATAATCAAAACTTGGATGATTCTACTTATGCCGATGAACCACCATTGATGAACGTTTCGTCACAGAACAAAACCAGTGAACTGACTTCAACTACTACACCTACAATTAACAAATTAAAACGAAAGAACCAAAATGACACAGATCTTGGTGCCGCACTTATAAGATTAGAAGAACAAAAAATCAGGATTCTAGAAAAAGAAAAGAAAAGTCAAACACTTGATGAAGACGATTGCTTTTTTGACAGCCTTCTACCGCATATACGCTCGCTCATCCCACAAAGAAAAATGTTATTAAGGATGAAGATGCAAGAACTTGTTTATAACTTTGTTTACAATGATCAGCCGCCCAATCAAGTTACTGAAAGCCAAAGTAATCATCGAACTCAAATTATGCATTTACATGAAATAAATCCACGTCAAATAATTGATTTGCAGCCTGTAAATACCTACTCGAATCCTACATCAGTTGGATCTTATTTGACGAGTTTTTCCGAAGAATCTGTTAATGATTTTTAATATTTACAGATAGGTATAAGTACATAAGAATTGTATGTGTTTTAATTTTAAGTTTTGGGTTTTCGTTCTGAATAAAATATAAAATTAAAAGTATGCATGTTTACTTACCTTAAGGTGACTGCAACCCGTTCCGTTGGGTTAATAGGATTACGATTAAAATTGGTCCAATTTTTTACTAACTTATGCTCAATTTTCTCCACAATATAATCAAACGTTGCAATACTCATTCGGAAATAAGACTGAAACTTCTCGGGATGCTGCCTTAGTTGTTCATACAAGTGAAGAAATTCACCATGTACATGCCTACTTTTATTTATTTCATGTACATTACAACTTCTCTTTCTATTTAATCTATTTTTCAGAAAATACCAAATTTTCAGAGACGAATTTTCTACTAACAATAGATCCATCTCTCTGTTTTGATCGCGCCAGTCGCGCGCAACTATGTGCAGGAATCTCTTTTATCACCGCGACCCTCAATCGCCGCTCTCCTCTCTGCTCTCCTCGTCGCTCTTCTCGCCGCTCCACTATGTGTTCTGCCTTAGGTAATTGGGACCGCAGAATCCAAAAATGCCTATTACCAATTCGAAATCGCGACCGGAAATGAGATATTCAAGATGGCAGTCAAAAACCTGAAATCAACTGATTTTTCGCCTTCTAAGAACTATGAACGTGATTAGGACGTTAAATTATATCATTTTTAGAGCCAAAAGTACACAGTGGTACTAGAATTCAGACATTTGAATCGACAAACGAATTTTGCATCATATGCGTGGAATTTGGTGACAACATGGAGCTTTGGTACCGATGTACCGATCAAATGTGGAAGATGGGCTCATTCCGAATGTTCTGGTTGGGAGTCGGCCAAAGAGTAAAAATGTGATAAAGGCGTTGTCAAACAACTTGCACGGCACTGGGTCGGGTAATACCGTCATTTGCACTTTCTAGATCACTTTGTTGCGCATAAAATTACCCTTAAACTGTTTGAATACAAAATTTAAATCAATAAACCACAATAGGCCTAGGTACAGTAAGTCACTCTTAAGGAATGCGGCCAGCGCAACAAAGTGCTCGCGGCTACTCAGTGGTGTGGGAGTAGGTTCAATAATAAAAGTAAGCTTAATAGGGCGCCACTGATTTATAAAATACAATCCGCGGACTTAAATCAGAAAGTCCCTGATCTCCAAAATTCCTATAAAAATGTACCTACCCAATGTACCTATCCTTCAAAATAAAACAACTTTGCCTTGGTTTGGTTGATGTCAGTAAGGAAAAAAAAATAAGAGTCAAATCTAAAACAATTATTAAAAATCTATTTAATAAAATGGGGGGTATATGTTCAAACCTGCAAAGGCCAATATAAGGCAATATGAAAAATACCAAAATATCTATTATTATTAATAGTAAATGTCAGAAGAACCAAAATGTAGTCAGGACCAATGTGGCCTTATTCAAGACACTGCAATAACTTTAAGATTTACCAATAAAATGAATGTTTTGACTACCTTAGTTCCATGAGAGTAAAAGAGAACAAATAGTTATTAAAGATGTTAATAAGAGTAATTAAAACCTGTGCACGCTTATACCATGGTATACCGGGACGGGTTTGTACAAAAAGGTCACCTTAAATATAGTACATTAAAAATCATTGGTACTGTACACCCTTGTAATAATTAAGGCAGTAAAACAACCTTGGAACTATACCAACCATCAATAATAATAATAAAATAATTTAAGAAATGTTATAAATCAATGGGTACATCACCCCCTTTTGGTCCTCCCTGCAGTCTAAACACCCATTTCTATAACTGTCTCCTGACAGCCTTACAACCTGCATAACAGACCCCATCAACTTCTATTGACTCCCTTCTTACAACGCGAATTTCGGTCTCAATTCAGTGTTGTGGGTACTCTTGACACCTCAACTTCGAGACTAATAAACCGTCAGAGAGGAAAAACCCACTGGTAAAGATTCTGAAGGCCTCGCTAACAGCCTGGTTACAATTTGGGCTAGTTGAACAAATGTGCTCTAGTGCTTCACACGACAAACCAACAAAATGGCGTAGATTTCGTTTCCAGAAAATTCTGTGTGGTTGGATTACAAATACGGGTACGACCAAATCCAAAGCTTTCACCCCAAAACCAATTAAGCCAGCAACCACTAAATCCCAGCGTCTTCAAAATCCCACAAAAAGGTGGATGTTCCCAAGGAACGTTGCCAAAAGGACCGCTGGTAAAATCTGCCAAGAACTTGTTGTTTGCTCAACGTGCGAATTTAAAAGAGAACGATCCCTTTTCAGCGATTTATTAGGTAGGCTTCAATATGAAAAATTTTCTAGAATTCCAGTTTTTTTCTTTAAGATGTCCTCTGGTGCCAGATTTCCGATCTCGACCAGGAAGACGGAACACCCAGTTTGAATCGGAACACAATCAGCTTGAAACAGAACACTCCGAACCACAATGATGAACCACAAAAACTCCAAGTTGTTATCAAATTCTCTTCCCTAACATCAATTAACACTAATTAATCACTTCTCTCTCTTCAGTCTAAAAACCATCAAAATGACCAGTGAATGTTTAGGGATCACAGTTACAGTGACTCTATATTACCCACAGCGGTCAAGAACGTCAACATCAGTGCTGCCCAACACGAATTAACAAGTGGCATATAACCCCACTATATTTTTGAGAAAAATAAACATTTGAAAATGGGAAAAGTGAAGGAAATAAGGGTGGAAAATCGATTTAGAGTGTGCTAAAGTGATTTGTGTTGTTGCAGAAATTTTAATAAAGGAAAATACGAGATCCGTAAGTGTTGACAATTGATATTTATTTGAAAGTAAACAAACATTTTCACCGACATTTAGGGCCTTTTAGAAAACTTTCGAAAGCTAAATAAAGTGAATTCTTATCCTAGGGCTTTATTATCCTGAAACTACCCTGTCCTCTAAATACAAAGAATTCACTCATTATTACCTTGAAAAATATACCTTTAATCAACAACCAGATATTGTTTTGCATCCAACCAAAAGGCAAAAATCTAGCAAAATTCAATGAGCAACCTATCAATCACTGAAAAATATTAAACCTCAGGTATACAGCTTTATAAATATTCTCACAAATAACTGAATTAATTACTGAATTTATTCGAAATCCTCAATAGACCTATTTATTTTGTGATAAACGAAGATGCAAATACGGATTTGAGCTCGCTAGACAGAGAACCCGATATATTTCACGCGCCACTGGAGGTATACATTTAAAAGCTGCGCAAACATAAGTGCGAGAGAGAGCACATTTTTTGTTCTTGTCTTATGAAAGCCCTGACGGTCAACAAGATGTTCGATCCTGTGTCAAGTTCATTGGAGCGGTGGGTTTGATCGTCCCATCTTTGTTATTTGCATATCAAGACAAGGAGAAAAGGATCAACCGACGAGTCGTACCTAGTACCTGAACGAACACGCTCCACCCCACCTGACACCCCGACTGACTAGGGGCTAGGTTAGGTTGATTATTTATTTATTTATTCAAGATTATAATGATGATTATTCAAATTATTGTCGTAAAATCAAGTAAAATGCATATTAAGCGAGATATTAAGGGAGTTAAGGCCCTCGGGAAGGTTCATTCATTCTTTGAATTTCGTTCAAGCAAGTTGTCAGCTTTCTTCGTGTGTTTTATTTTCGTTTCAGTTTCATTGTTATTATCCTTGGATATTATAGTGTTGATATTGTGTTTAGTGATTACTCCTGATAATATGGCTGATAGTAGTTTTTGGGTGAAAGATCTCTCCCTTTTCAAAGGCTTTCACTTTGGAATTTCAGCAGCCTTTTTCACAAAAAAATCGTGGACACACAGACAGAGCGATCGTGGCTATAAATTTTTTGCTGAGGGGTATATTCATGATGTGTTCATACACAAGAATGAGTGTACCATCAAGGCGAAATGCTATAGGAGCCAGAAGAAGAATGAGAAGCCGCATAGCCTTCATTTAAAATTTGCATCAGTGGACCTTATGGTGGAAGCTCACTGTACATGTGAGGCGGGGTAAGAAAACGATAATTTGTTACATTATATTTACCAGTGTTAATGAAATTATTTTATTTTTATAGGAACTCCGAATCTTGCAACCACGTTGTTGGGCTGGCTTACTTTCTGCAGCATTTAATTTTGAATGGCTTTAAAGAAGTCCCAGAAAGTGCATCATGCACTTCAATCCCAATGGAATGGAATAAGCAAAGAGGGAACAAAATAACTGCAGAAAAAATACCTGAAAGTGTTTTTATTGACCCAAACAACATAAAAAGGACAAAAAAAACAGTTATTTGTCAAATAAAAAACCCCATAAGGAATGATGAGTTGAAGAAAATCAACCAAGCTAGTATCACAAACCTAAAAACTGTTTTAAAAGAAATTAACCCGTCCATACCATTTGCTAGTACACTATGTACTGAAAACATGGCAAATGATAGAACAATACTTCTACAAAATGGTATGTAGCAGATTTGTATACTTATTATTTATCTAATTCTGATGTTTTTTAACTTATAGGAATAAATGTGCCAGCATCCTCGCTATTGGGACATATGGCTCGTGCTGGGACCAAAAATGTTGCTGCTACAACAGGTCTTGAGAGGGATGAACACCTGGACGATCTACCTATAGCATTGCCATTAGATGATAAAGAAATGGTTGACATCCTAATAAGTTTGGCGCTAGTCCACCACGCCTCATTACAACCAATCTCTATGGAGCAAGCAGCAGAAATAGAGAAAAAGACAAGAACGCAGAACCAGAACGACCTTTGGAAAGATCTTCGTAAATTTCGGTTTACCGCCTCAAAATTTGGTTTTGTTTGTAGAAGAAAACTTTTTAATGACGAATTTATAAAACCATTTGTGTGCCCTCCAGATATCAGTCGTCTAAAAACAGTTGCTCATGGATTGAAAAATGAACCAATAGCCATAAGAGAATTCTTGAAATCAAATCCTCAATTCAAGTATTTTAAATGCGGTTTGGTAGTGCACCCATATGCTATTCATTTGGGTGCAAGCCCAGATGGCATTTTGTACGACTGTACATCTTCTAGTTATGGGGTTCTAGAAGTCAAGTGTCCTTGCAGCACTAAGGCCGATAGTTTGGAAGAACACTTGAAAATAAAAACCTTCTGTTTGCAACAGGACGAAAATAATTTATTATCGCTAAAGGTCAGTCATGATTATTATTTTCAAATCCAGGGGCAAATGCTTTTAGCAGGATTACGATGGGCAAAATTTGTTGTGTATATGGCCAAAACACAACAAATTGTAGTTCAAACCATCCCTTTTGATCCCATTTTTTGCCAAAATATGTACAGGATATTAACTCAAAAGTATGAGATATTTCTAGCAAATGTAGAGGTTGTTCGTTTGTAAATATATATGTTTTTCATTGTTTCGTTGTTCATTTCTTATTGTATATATTAATTTAAGTTAAAGTATAAATTTTTGTACCATATGTAAATAATAAAGCATGTTTGATTTGTTTGTTGCTATGTTTCATAAATAAATTAAAGTGTTTTTCTATTTATTAAATTACAATTTTGTTTTCATTTGCCATGATTCATATTTTTTTTCACTAGTGACATAGACTATAGATTTGAAATGTACTTAAATACAGTAATAAAAGATTATGAAAAGTACTTTTTGTTTTTACACATTTTATTGGTAGTAGAAAAGATTGTGTACCTATTCAATATGTGTGTAAAGCACCTTTTTTCACTTGAGTGATTGTCAAGAATTAATACTTTTGTGAAAAAGGTTTCCTTTACACACTTGTTGCATAAATAACTATATTGAAAAAAAAAACATTACAGATAATCAGTTTTTATTGCATAATAATGTCTATGACTCAACAAATTAAAACAAATGCATTTAAGCAACAACAGTAACCAACATCTTCTTGCAACTTTAAAAGTGATTTTTTCATTGCTTGTACAAATTTATAAAAGTGGATAGTGAATACGGCTGTAGGTACATAATATGAACTACTACTACATGAGTACCTAATCATGTGGATTTAAAACAAAATCAGACAAGCAGGAACCTATTTGATTTGTGTCTTAGGTATTCGTTTTCATTGTCACTAGGCCATACCTAAAATTGCTTAATAGTATGCAAACTGTATAAATTTGTTGTATGGCACCTAAACTAGAAATGGGAATTTTTGATGACAATATATTATAATTTTTTAGCCTTCCTATGGCTCGTTCAACATGTATTCTTTCATGGGCTACTTTTCGAATCGTCGAGACTTCTTCGGTGGTAAATTGGGTACCACCCACTTTAAATACTGGGATGTTTATGTCTAGATTTATAGCTTGGAACAAATCTCTTACGTTAAACCCCTTGTCTGCTAATATAGTATCACCTGGAAAAATTTTTCCTTCATTAACTTTTTCTTTGAGGATATCTATAAACCCACTAACTTCAATAATCGCTTTATCAGAAATAGATCCTGTAAATAATGGTGATGTATAAATTATGGCCCCAGCAGGATCTATCATTATTAGCGATTTAAGAGTTGTTGCCCCCTTGTAGTTAGAATAGCATTGACTTTGTTTTACTAAAGATGACGGTCTTTGAATAAAAAATTCTGTACAGTCAATACTACCAATAACATTTGGATAGTTTTTTTTTTTTCAATCAGAAGCTCGATTTATCAACTCGTTTCTATTTGGCCATATGTCCAAAGATCCCAATCTAAGGTACAATAAATTTATCCATGACAAAAATATGCTATTAACATAGGCCTTTGAAATGGAAAACATATCTGATAATGTTTCAATAGACATCCCCCTCCTCAATCGAATAAGTGTCAAAAAAAAATGATTTTCTGCGGATAGTTTGCTTAATCGTTCATGTTTTTTTACTCTGGGAGAAGCATCATAAATGGTAATGTCTTTCAAATCACCAGATGATAATACCCATTTGAAAACCAAACACAAAATCTCATAGGTTTGAAAGCCTGTATAATACAGAATTTTTTTGTCATTTGCAGAAAACTGTTGCAGGCAAAAGAGTGGCTTGGGTAGAGATAATAGTTGTAATCGTTGGTTTTCTCGTTTCAGATATGCAACCTCGTTCTCCAAAATTTCTACAGTTTTCAAGCTGGAACAGTTCCCTTTACATATTTCCATGGAATCCTTTTCTATCTAAAATATAATATAATTATAATACTTAACTATACTTATAATTAAAGTGTAGAAAATACCTGTGGTGTAGATGTTGTCAATGTATTAAGTTCGTCGTTCCCAGCTTGGTCTGGTTGATCCTCGGGTAGCTCTGATATCCATGACATAGTAACTGAAGATGAGATGGGATTTCCAGTGGCATCAGACACTGGTTTCTTTGTTTGTATCTTGGTAATCTATGGAGCAAATAAATTCCTTATCACTGTGAACTTGATAACCAAAATATAATAAGTTGGTATAAATATGTGATATAAGTTCAGCTGCAGGGACAGTTTATCTTTCGACAGCACTTATATAACTTGGGACATAGCCTCAGTGTACATGAAAAGTGAGTAATAAGTCAATCACAAGCATACCTTTGTTGGAGTCTTTACAACATTGGTGGTCAAAGTCAGCCTATGTTCTTTCAGAGGTGAAAAATCAGCATTTACTGAGTCATCAACCCAAGTCATAGATACATCCGAGGAGACATTTTCAGAAACCTACGACATAGCCAATTAATATCTTAAATATACGGCATCTTTTTAATAGCAATACCTTTGATGTGGAGTGTTTTCTTTGTTGTTTTGTATGTGGAAACACCAGGGGTTTCTGTGAGTACATTGCTTGTGGAGCAGACCGAGGGTGACATACAGCTTGCTGGTCTTGTTTCTGGCACTGGCATTTTAGGTGTATTTTCATTTTCTATTGTAGTTGTTGATGAACTGGGAATATTTTGCATCTCACCTAAGGCAGGCACCCCATCATTTACTGACCCCACACTTGGAATAGCAGATTTTTTCAATTTAACAACATTTCCTCCAAAAACAAAATCTTCCTTTTTGAAATGCTTCGAGCAAACCTAAAATATCCCATATTGAGATTTATTATAAACAACTTATTTATTTCTTACTCTTGGTCTGCAATCCCATTTTAACGCATTTAAACGCAAGGCATTTAACCAAAGCTGGCGTCTATTTTCATCTTTTGGATAACAATGAAATGAGATTCCATTGTTTTTTCTCAGCGTCGATTTGCACTTCCGTACCGAACAATACTGTGGCATTATTAAAACTATAGATAACTACGTCTAATAGTCTAGTAAAATAATAATAATGTGAATAATAATACCGCAAAAAACTGAAATATCAAATAATAACAACAAACAAAAACAAGGAAACATAACCACACAAACTCAAATCAAAATCCGGTAAAATGCCATTACTGTCATTTCGTCCTCCAAATTTTCACCTGCCTGCTACAGCCAATAGAAACTTACCTCCTCATGCGCACGCAACTTAGTGCACTCAGGTGTAAATGAATAGGTCTATTACGTTAAGGCAAAATTTTAACGTAACAACTTTCTATGTCAAAAGCATATACAAGACCTGGAATAATAGATTAAGCAAAAACTTTCTATTTCTCAAAGGGCCAGTCATGCTTAGGAGCGGCTAGGACATTTCTGTTCAATTTGGTAGACTCAACTAAGAAAACAATAATAGCTCCAGAAAACACAGTTTTAAATTTACTCGAAGAAAAACATCCGAACGTTCCTACAACAACAGAAAAAGTCGAAAACGATATTGAGGTAGTTGTAGATGATTGAAATGTAAAATATAAGATTCACCGGATTGTCAAGATCTGGTGCCAGCCGGGTTCCCGGAACTGGTAAGCATTCTTCAGTTTTTTGTTGAAGTCTTTTATGTCCCCGCCTGCGGTTTGTTCTGATAAACAAGCTTCAAATAATTGGTTTCTTTGGATCGACACTCAAACATTAGCACGTACAATTGGTATCTTTTCGTGTCTCAATTGTATCACTATTGCGTAAATCCTTTATTAGATATATTGTACGTAGTGTCAGGTTATGTTGTATAGTTTTCTGAGGATTATGCTGGTAATTTCCCAGACTTCAAGACCGAAGTAAATTATGAAGAGAACCTTTATAAAGAGCTAACAAATTTGCCTAATATAATTGACATGAATACATCTTTGAATACACGCTATGTTCCTAAATAATACTTTAGCTATCGAACCTCCCTAGCCGATTAATTGAGAAGGGTTTATTACTTTCTGGGTGCTGATGCCCAAGAAACTGGGCGAGAGGGTAATGTAGTTGCTGTAAAACAGTTTGAGACAGAAAAACTATCATCTAACGAATTAAGATAAGTGAACCCCCCGCCAGAATCAGGCATCCGAATATTATCCAAATAATGGGCATCTCACTGGATACAAACCCACATCATTCTGGAAAGGGTTGAAAGGTCATAATTTGGGAGACATTGTCTTCAATGATGATGTCAAAATACTTTAAAATTTAGACATTATAAAGAAGAACCAGGTTTTTTCAAAAATCTGCCAAGCAATCAGCCATCTGCATAGACAAATTAATCCTATAATTCACCAAGATATTGAACCTGATAATATCTTAGTTAATGAAATTTTGTACCTAAAGTCTGTATTTTTCCTAAAAAATGAATATAAGTACTTGGAAATATATTAGTAGAAATCAGAAAAACCTACCAAATCGGAAACGGAAATATATTTCAGCTTTCTAAAATGACCGCAAGGGGGCGTAACCCAACTGTCAAAGTACAAAAATGGTTTTATTTTTGAAATTTCAAATGGAAACGTATCTTGAAAATGCTAGCAATAAATTTTTGATGAAATTTCACACAATTTTGATGACTTTTTACCAGAATTTATCGGATAAGATAGTTATGAGCTGTCAAACATTGCAACTCAAGAAAGCGGATAACTTCAAAACGACTCAACAAATCTGGTCGATCTCAGGTTTGTTGGAAAGACAAGAGTCTGTTCTTTAATTTTGTTGTGAAAAATTTAAATTCTGGTTAGTAGGACTGACGTTATGGGTCAATATTTGAAAACCATTGAATGTTTCCAATTTTTCTTGAAATTTTCAAATTAAACGGTATATTTAAGATATGCTCAATCGATTTTTGAGGATGTTTTACACGGTTTTTCTTTATCATACCTTCCTACAAACGAATTCCAGATAGTGTTAAAATTAATTTTCTTAAAAATAATCAGTATTTATGAAAAAGCCCTCGTAAATTGAACAGATACTAGTTGAATATGTCAGGCTGACAAATTTTTAAACCTTCAAGGGTGCGTTCAAAATCACCCTGGGCGTCACACCGAGTGCACACCAGCCATGTATAATTCATAGCTAGTGTGCACTCGGTGTGACGCCCCAGGGTGATTTCGAACGCACTCCAAAAGTTATTTTCTAAAGTCAAAATGCATTTCCTAAATGGAGAAGCACAGGACATCCTTGAGCTGCATGAATGTAACGGAAATGCAGCAATCGCAGCACGTATTTATTCCGGGCGTTATCCCCAAAGACCTCACCCTGACCCTAGATCCATCAGGAGGTTGAATAATCGTTTAAGGGTTACGGGTAGTATTCATACCCCGTCTTTCACTCGAAGACGTAGGGCCACGTGCGAGGAGAATACAACCAACGTACTGGCACTATAATTTCCTAACGCACTTTTTTCATTATTTGACGTTCATCAATGATGACAATCAACTGTCAGAAAAACGAAGTCATTATTTACGAGGCCTTTTCATAAATATTGATTTATTTTTGATAAAATTGAATTTAACACTCACTGGAATTCGTTTGTAGGAAGGCATGATAGAAAAACTGTGTAAAACATCCTCAAAAATGGATTGAACATATCTTAAATATAGCGTTCCATTTGAAAATTTCAAGAAAAATTAGAAAAATTCGATTGTTTTCAAATATCCACCCATAGAGTCAGTCTAACTAACTGAAGTTGGAATTTTTTACAACAAAATTAAAGAACAGACTCTTGTCTTTCCAACGAACCTAAGATCGACCCAATTCGTTGAGTCGTTTTGAAGTTATTCGTGTTCTTAAGTAGCAATATTTGACAGCTCATAACTATCTTATCCGATAAGTTATGGTAAAAAGTCATGAATCAAAATTGCGTGAAATTTCATCAAAAATCTATTGCTAGCATTTTCAAAATACGTTTCCATTTGAAATTTCGAAAATAAAACCATTTTTGTACATTGACAGTTGGGTTACGCCTCCTTGCGGTCATTTTAGAAAGCTGAAATATATTTCCAGCATTTTCTTTTGGCCATATTTATGGGATAATTTTTTTCCGACAAGACTACTATGAATAGTTTTTGAGATATGGCCGAGTGCCATTCTTAATGGATCACCCTGTACAAGATCAAATGCTGAACAAACTTTCAAAATGACCCTGTACCTACATTAATAAAAAGTCATAATTTTATTTTCCATTAATAAAAGCTTATCGCGCCCGACTTTGTTTACTTTTTTTACTCTTCGTGATAAGTCCGCCCCAATACCAATGAACATAATAATTATTAACATCTTGTATAGCAATAGCCGGGATCCACGACAGTTACCGGTGGTTGTTGATGACGTCATTTAAAACGCACCATAACCGGGATTCGTATGAATACCGGTGCCGGGAGGCTAGACACAGCGTTTTATAAAACAACTTTACGGCCATGAGAATCGAGGCATCTCATCCATTTGGTTTAAATGTTACTATGAACTATTGTTTTATGTAGAAATTATCCATTGCAACGATTACATACCCGTTTCATTTTTTTTACTGCCAATATTCTTTCATTGACATTCAATTTCAAAAATAACATTTCAATTTGTTCTCATTAATAAAGGCAAGACTATGACTTTGACTTGTACGAAATTTGCCTTTGTTAGCCGAATTAGCAGTATCAGCACACGAACTTATTTCTAACTTTTCCAACATATTACATTTTTCTTTAGGAAATTTATTTAAATCTTGCAAACTGGGTAAATCTTGTTCATATTTAAAACATTCCCAGTCCCTTCTTGTGACAATATCAAATTTAGAATCAATAATATAAATTATTATGCTATCCCAACCTTCTGTTTGTAAACCTAAACCACTCAAGGAACGCAAATGCTTTGTTACATTATCAAATAAACTTCTTAGTTCTGTGTGCGATTCTTTTATAATTGATGGATGATCAAAAATAGCCTTCAAATGATTATAAATTATTAGATTTTTCTTTTGGTACCGCTCTTCCAGCATTTGCCAAGCAATTGTATAATTGCTTGACGAAACCTCTATTGCCTTTATTATCTGTTGGGCTTCATTATCTAAACAAGACCTTGAATAATAAAAACGTTTAATATCAAATAAAGCACTGTTGTTATGTACCAAGCCACAAAACAATCTTTAAATTCCAGCCATGATTTATATTGTCCATTAAATGTTGGTAATTTAATAGGTGGTAGCTTGACCAATGACTGTAAATTATTGCCAGAATAACCTGGGCTTGCATTAGAAACTAAATTAGAGCCAGAGCGATCAGATGATGCTGAGTGTTCCTTGCATACTTCATCACAAAGAGCTTGCATTGAACTAACAATTATTTCAAAATAAGAATTTTCAAACGAAAGCAATTCAGCATCGTTATAATTATCACTATGTGTTAGTTAAATTTGCCATTGAACCTCAATAAATTCATCGAATAAAGGAGAAACCTTTTCTATTCTTTATTGTGATTCAGAAATTAACTTATTTCTATCATCAATATCATTATCAATATTATTAAAATATGTTTTTACCCTTAATTATTGCCTTTTTTAAATTTAAAGCCTTCAGCTCTGTTTCAGACATTGTTGATCAAAGAAATAGTAAATTGAAACAAATCACTCACCAATGGTGGTAACTTTCACTCCCGACACCGGCTGATTACGGTCTCCCATACACAGCACTGAATGGGGCTAACCAATAATGATTGTAATATAATGACCATATTCTTTTTAAATAAAACAACTTTTGTGTCAAGAAAAACTAATTTTTTAATGAGCGATAAAAAACATCATAACCAAAAACCTTCGTCCCCTCAAGAGGCCCGGCTTTCGTTCTCTCTCTTGCATGTTCACTTAATGCAGTGTTGCCAGTTATTTTTATCGCAATAGCGATTTCAATTTATCGTGCTCGCACACTTGGTGAGTTGCTCCTCTTTGGTTGCTTGGGAGAAGCCATTAGAGTTGCACTCACTTCTCGGACCCCGCCTGGGCACTTTCGTCTTTATGACTCATCGAGTCTTTAGACGTGCCTGCCCTTGGTTCGGCGCCGCTTTTCTTTGGGGAGCTTGGTTGCTCTACAGCTGTTGTGCTCCGACTGCTTTGCGGTTTTATAGTAGTATAACCGAACTTGTAACTTACCGCGTAGCCTCCGGATTTAAGTTTTTCTGTGGATGCACTGTCCACAGAAAGGGTTAGTGAGACCAGGTCGCCCTCGGCGTTACGTCCGATAACTTGCCAGTTTTTGACGTTTAGGCCCTCATTTTGGCCTTGAACAAGATTCAAGATTTTCTCCGTAGAGTAATCTGTGCTGCTTGGGAACCGAGCAACCAAGACGTCAGAGTGAGGAATGTCAGATTGCTCTACCATCTTTAGCAAAGCTCCCTCCCAAGGCTTGATGGAGGTGATTGCAGTTTGGAGCCACTGTTTGGTGGCTATATTTTCGCAAACTAGAGCGAGCCAGCCGGGTCTGTTGTTGGCGC